GAAATTTCTCATTCATCTTCCAGAGTGGTGAGGCAGTGGTTAAGAAATGTTGTCTACACGTTAAAAGTTGCGCACCCCAACACTCTGTCCATGTGTCAATAAAGTTACACTAATATGGTCACGGCCACACACACACACACATCTACCAGATTATCAGACGCACCCCAACTTTTTCTTTAATATACAGGAGGAAAACTGCGTGTTATAATCGGTGCAATATCGCACACGCCGCTCGCAACATTGCGGATTGTATGCAATATGGCCCAATTGCCGGATCTTAAAATAGTGCCACTCAATATTTGTTAAAGCTCTCCACGAATTTATCGTCCACTCTTAACGAAATACATTCGGGAATTTAAAATTTAAACAATGTAGTGTTTTTACAGGTAGATTTTTAACAAGATGGACTCGGCCACCCTATATTGGTTCTTGTTTACGCAATAAATCAGTCGAGCAACGTGTTCAAGATTTTGAAGAATTTCTGGGAAATAATTTCACGTATTGTATTGAGTCGGGCTGGATAACCGACACAGATTAATCCCAATGAGAAAGCTGGAAGCACCGCTTAAAAAAATGTAAAACGAAATGTCTCGATGAATGTGAAGCCCCCCCCCCCCCACGCTCTCTCGCTGTCTCTATCAATGGGATATTCAGCCGCTACAGTATGTGTGTGGTGTGTGCGTGTGGACTACAATGGGAAAGCGCATGCTACATTGCAAAGTCGCGTTAAATGCAACAACACGATCTTGATCACAACTTTAAGGTTACCCACAGTGTATCAAGCCACATTATGGCAGTCACGTAGAAATAAAATTACGGCTCTCTGACCCTCGCATTAAAGTGGCAGCAACGCTGGTGGGTGGAGATCCCAGGATGTTTTTCACAAGTATCTCGATCCGCTAATTTTTTTTTTTTGGGGGGGGGGGGGGGGGGAAGTGGGAACACGGCCGAACGCGACGATTCAACTTTACATGCGGCGCAGTGTGACGCGTCTCAGCAGCGCTGATGAGGCTGCTTCAACAAGGGCCGGCGCGTTTTCCAAGGGAAATCTACGGGGAATAGAGCTCACAGGTTCTACACGGGCGCACACACACGCAAGCGGATAAGAGCCCCTGCTCTCGCTATCATGCACACACAAATCAGTTCAGTTCATTTATTAGGTATAGCCCTGTGAGCCATGCGGCTCTTGAATCGGGTGCAACCGCAACAAACAAGAACATGAAAATACAGAGATAACCCGTGGAGCATTTTAACGGATTGTTCGCGCAAGTCATGTGAGCGAGTCGTAGCACCCTGAAGTACGGTACTCTACAAGAAGGGGGGGTGGGTGGCTAACACCACCCCAGGCCGCCTTTGTCTCCCCAATGTTGACTTTTACACACCGTACCGGGTACTCATTTCGAGGCTGAGTGGGACTTAGGGGAGGCCGAAGACCGATTCAGATAATCGTCTCGGATCGCCAGGTTCGAAGCGCAGTGCGCTAACGGCTACACTACCGCTCCCCACACGCACACAAGAGTACACGAGCCCGTGCACACTCTCACAAGCACTCGCACGTGAGCCCGCCGTGCTTTGCTGCAGAGGCTCGTTTGCAACGGCGCTGTGCAAAATGCAAATAGCCGCATAACAAAGTAGAGGATATAAGCGGGGGAAACAAACTAATAATTTGCATTGACCGTACACTACTCGTGACCTTGCTTTGTGCGGGCAGGCTTTATTCATGTTTTATTTGCAAATAGAGCGCAAACCAAAATGTTCATACTTCATCTCTCCCTCTCTCCTGTTTAAATGACAGCTGGCATTTCATGGCACACCGATTAATCAGCATCAGGCAAGTAAACCTTCCACGAATTGGCACGCCTTCACATTAAACGCTTAAAAACACACGCACAAAGCCAATATGGTAATGAGGTTCGTGAAATTGTACAGTAAGCCTGTATTGTGGGAAATTGTTGTTGCTTGAGATGGTATTGTTTGAAGTGCCGCTGTCGTAATAAGGATTAAATAACGCATTTGCGTAGGTTAAATCACACGCGAGATGTGATTTGCGACTAAAGGCATTCTGTTGACCGACGAACGACGGATGATTCACGGTGGTGTTGTTTGCAAAAACATATTCAGATGCATGGGTTTAATATTTTAAAAAAAATGCAAATTCAAAATTAATTTGCTCCGGGTGCTCGATGTGAAAGGTGCATCTCTGGTGATTGCAAAAACGCAATGATACCAATGACTCTCTAATGCGAGCTGATGCAGAAAACCTCACCTCAGTCTCATAACTCGTATTCATAAAACGCCTAGCAAGCCGTGGTAGTAAAAGTATTAACCAGGTTTAGCTTCTGAGACTTGACAAACTTTGGCCCTTTCAGGGCGATTGATTGTAGGCAGCGTCGAATCGCCTTCTCTTATGTTCCCATGTTTATCAAGGACTCAAGGCTCTAAATACACACAAACAGCAGCTCACAATCGAGATAGGTGTACAATATATCAGCTACATTCAGCCCACTATTGACGTAGTGTGGATGTCTGTAAAGCGTTTTCAACCGAATGGACTCTCTCAAATAACATCACTGTGATGTGAAACAGAAGCTCAACAACTACAAAATAATATTTGCATATGTAAATAACTAAATACAAAATACAGTTTGCATATCAGGTTTACGAGGATACTTTAAATTGCGAGCGAATTCGAGGGATTATTCATCGTAGATTTTCCATGCCAGCCACATCAGGTGGAATGAGATGAGATCATTAAAGACTAAACTTTCTACTATGTTTACTTTAATTGGCTCCACTTGGAATATGTAGTGTGACGAACCTGTGTAGGTGTGTAGGAACACCCTACACAGAGAACACGCTGCTCCACAGCTATCGGAACACCTGTTCGATTCCCGAGCATGCGCCTCGGTTATGACATTGTCGTTCATCTCCGTTGAGCACCATAACCCAGTGAAGGAAATTCCACATCTCCATGGCGGAGGCGGGGGGAGCGAGAAGTCTCTCCAGGAGACGATCGCTGTTGAATCCCCACAAGGCGATGCCTTTTTTATTGAGTTGGGATAGATAATAGACCGAGTTGAATCTCAATGAGGAATTTAACTCACTATAACTTGGCGGGGCTACAGGGAATAACGCAAGGACCACATGGCTTCAAGCGTAAACATCGCACCCTGCAACTCTAAAACTAATACCATACAGTATGTATGAAACTGACGTCAATATCTTCTCAAAATACACATTACTAATGAATGAGCTCGGCATGAAAACATTTTCAAATACGTTATTCATTCTAATTTAGCCGTATTGTTTGCAACTTTGCACCCACAGGTCTGTCATAAAACATTACTTTCAGCGGGATCTCACCTATGCGCATGTATGTGTCTGGTACATACCATTTGATTCAAGTATATTACAAATTCACCATCACCACCACGATTCACCACATTTTCCGTTCTCGTGATAACTATTAGACTTAAAAATATAATTGTCAGTAACTTTGACATACCAATGAACCGTACAGAAAATCTGAAATGATGCAATTTACGGACACGATTTGATGCTTTAATCACGATAATTTTTTACGCCCATGAATCGTAACTTGATGATCTCAACAGAAAACTGAATGCACGCGTTGCCACGCCAAACGTTCGCATGGCCTGGGTTAAGCAACGATCCCCATCGAAGATAGCAGCAGCATCTGGTGCCACGCAGGCGGTCGCCGTCCTTGGTGCTGAATGAAGCACGAATCCACGGCTATAGCTTGCTCACTTGCCAAGCCCAGGGCAATTAGGTTGAATATCCATACAGTGAAAGGGACTTATACCACCCCGCATGTGTTAATATATGTAGTACTACACACATATATACGCACAAATGGATGCAGTCTTCGTTTTTAAACCCGACCTTGAAAATAAGGGTTCCGTAAGCACTGCCCTAAGATGCTGAACACACTTAAACTCCCTAATTACACGGGCATTAAACTTTATTAAAAAGCAATGTGTAATTTAAGCCGCCATTCATTCCTGATTACTACCATCAGAAAAGGAAATTAATTGCAATTATGCATAACAATCGGCTCATGTAGCAGCCGATTTTTTTCTCTCTTTGTTGTGAATGAAGGTTTATCTTTTCCCGCCTGTTTCAGGAGATTATTGTGTAATCTGACACAAAACGAAATTGCATTTCTGCACATAGGTTGCGGGTCCGTCGCAAGCTGCGCAATATCGAGTTACTATTATTAACTCGGCGCATGCTGAAAAGGGCAGCACAGCATAGGCGTTGTTGTTGATTGCTCATCTCAGCGCCACCCACGTAGTTCTGGCACGGCGGGTAATACTCGATTTCACACACACAATATTTCACATTTTGCCTTGTGCACTCTAAGCGCGAGTGCTATTACCCACATTGCTGCTGTCCACATTCCATAACATGTATTCATTTAGGGCGAATCTACCCCCGGGAACAGGTTCAGATAACACTGCTACTGTTGTTGGGCATGACCAGGAATCGAATCCAGGTGGCGGGAATCGTAACACAGTGATCAACCTAAGGTGACACGCACACAATACAAAGATCTCCAACATAATATAGCCATATATACTGCTGTGGAAAATGTTGTTAGTGATCAACTGTTAACATCAGCAGGGCTCACGAGCGGAGTGGTGCGGCCAACAGGACGCCAGGTATCTTTGGTTTCTCCAAGTGCATCACGTCGCAACAGGTCATCATTTAAGGCCGATGCGATTTCGGAGCACACCAAAACAGGCTTAGTTACCAGTACCACCGCTATATTGTGCATCAATCCTAGGTGGCCGGGAGTTGTATCGCAGTACTCCAACCACTGTGACGGACGCACAATAGCGCACGCTGTGACACATACTGGCACACACATACACACACGCATGCCCACACGCACGCGACCGTCTCCGGCGTGGCCCGGCAGAGAGGTCGGGGGGGGGGGGGGGCACGTTGCACAAGACTGTCGCGAAAACAAAACTTACGTGTCCCATCAAAGCGGGTGGCGATGGTATCCAGAAAGGTGTTCTGCGGAGCGAGCAGTCCCTTCATCACAGGCATTTTGCTCCGCTGTTACGGCTGCGTCCATCAAATAGTGGGGACTCGGTGTAGAGAGGTCCGGGGGCTGCGCTCACGGATCCACGCCGCATGGCTCTGTTTTGCTCGGGGCCACCGCACGGCCGTCGCTCCTACGGGCACGCGCGCGGGGCCCGCGGGTCGCGCGCGCGGACTCCGCTGCGGACAGACATTGGGGCGCGCGGGCGGGTGGGCGCTTGCGTGCGTGCGTGCGCGCGCGAGCGAGCGGCCAAAACGCTTCTGCAGCTGGAGTGGAATAGACCGCCCGTGTGCAACTTCGCGGAACGCGCCCACTTGCAGGAGATGATATGGACAGTAAATAACGTTCCCGTGGACTGTGTTCTCCGGTCGGCACTGTGTTATCTTTGTTGCTATTGTTGCTTTGTCGATGGTGGTAAGTGCGGTCTCGCGTCTAGCCGTGGTGCGTGCGTGAGCTGGGTTGGTCTGCTTTTCGGCCAGCTGCTGTACTTGTAGTAGTGGACGTGTCGTGAGCGCGCGGCGTTTTCGCTCCCTCCCTTTCACCCGTTCTTGATCGCCTGCTCCTCCTTTATCTCTTACCCTCGCCTCCCCACACCATTGGTGGTCGGACGGGTGGTATGGTTTCAAGCTCATAGGAAGGGGGAGGGGGGAATGATTGGATGGGTGGAAGCAGAGGGGTATGGAGATGTGATCACCTCCACCTGCACATTCTCTACTCCCCCCACTGTCCCGGATTTACGCGATGCTCTTCAATTTGTCGGCAGTGATGCGAGGGTGAAAATGAGCGTAGGGACCCCCACCCCCCGGAATAGATGTAGAGAGAGAGAGAAGGCTCTAGCGATATGGCATTTCCATCATCGTAACGCGAATCCCCGTCGATAATCTATTCCCCCAGCGAAGATTCTGCACATCGGTGCAATTTCAATACGATGGCAAAGAACTAAAGAAGACACACAAAACACTAATCTGAACGCGTTGCACGCGTGCGTAATTAGCCAGCAAGCTGCAAACTATCATCGCCATTATGCGCCATGGTCAGTCCCCTGTTGGAGGACAGGCTCTCCGACTAAAGTAGTCTCGAGCTCATTTCATCGCTCCAACTCCTCGGCGGACATCCTCTCGGACGCATTGCATTTTGTGGCGTCTACTCAGTTGTGATTTTTGACATTCGGCCATCGTCTCTTCTCGCGACATGTGTTGCTCAAAGCCCACACACACGAATTGGTTTCATCTCACATTGCTGCTTCGCTCCCCTCACCAGTCTTATATTGGCACACCACAATCGATCGACAACAGGTCGCGTGTGGGGGGTGGGGGGGGTAAAGCGTGGGTACCCCCACCTCTTCCGAGACGTCTCGCCAGCGTGGTGGAATAGGCGAGAATCACTTCCAGAGGGTTCTTTTGAACTCCCTCGAGTGGCGGTCCTTCCGACGGTAGTGGCGGCGTGAGAAAGACATTGCAGGGCGGCGCCTTTACCTCCTCCTTGTATTGACTGTGAGGCAAATAGAGACGAGGAGGAGGCAAATAGAGACGAGGAGGAGGCAAATAGAGACGAGGAGGAGGCAAATAGAGACGAGGAGGAGGAGGCTTCTCCTCGTTGTGTGTAATGGGCCCGCACTGGCCACGTGACGGTGCGCAGTCAGTTTCTTCTGGAAACAAAGGCAGCGGTGAAAGTCACCACGCCAGTTCTCAGCGCCGTTTACGTTTCAATTGCCAGCGGCAGCGCGTGTCCACCAAAAGCATCTAACTCGGGCCCTTCTGCGTGATTTTGGAAACAAATACACGCAACGTTCATTATTAGAATGTATCGAGCGGGGATGGAGGGTTGAAGTCGGCTCGCGTGCGGGTGCGAAATTGAGTATTGCATGGCGACGGGACGGAGGGCCCTTCATCTCGCAGCAGACTGGTAATGGCTGATGTTGATAACGATGGCATTTCAGTACCATAAGTGGTCTAAGTGCTGTTGATGGAACGCGTGTAATTATAACCAGGAGCCGCCTGTCAAGGTACTGCGATGTCACAACAATCCACGTCGTTTCATGACTTAATCTCTGTGGTTGCTGGCGTGCACTCAGGCGCGTTCTCTCCCTTGATTGGCTGCCAGTCCGTCGTTAGTCTCGACCCTTCTTTCTCGCGGCGTGCCCTGACAAAGCCCACTTACTTTTCTTGATACATCGTAACACCCGCCCCCCTCCCCCCCCCCGATAATGAACAGCACATTCAGACGAGATATACACCACACTAAAATTCAATAACAGCAGACAAAATGAATAATTAATTTAAAACAACTCAATTTGAACCGATCGTACGTCTGGTGTTGTTGACACGCGGTCCTGTGTGTAATTGATACCGCGTTAAATAGACAGAGGGATATGGGGGGGGGGCTGATATATGCTGAAAATGTATTATTTATTCTATAAGCCGGCCGAGCAATGGAAATGAGCGCCGAGGTAACAATGCGAGAGCTTCCCGGCCGCGCGCACACCTGGCGCGGGACAATCAGGAGGTAATTTAAGACGCCGTACGAACGCCTCGTGTTGTTCACCTCCCTAAGTCAACTGGACAACACCTGGCGTGGCGGCCGTGAACACCCCTCGCGTTACATCATCCCGCCTCGCCGTGCGTGAGTCTGGTGCGCGCGTGTTTGCATTTGTGCACGAGAACATGACAAAGACGCACCCCCCTCCTCTCCCTGTAGCCAGGCATACTATTGGAGCGAGGGCGTGGACGCTCGACCGCCTTTGTTTCCTCAGTACTGATGCAGGTACTCGTTTCAGGCTCAGAATCTTTATTTAGACCGGAGGAATCGGATGAGCTATGGTGCTCTTTTTCACAGATGTCCAGTATGGGCGGGTCAGTCAACCTCGGGTAGAATCAGAACCGGTTCAGATATTCGCCACTGGGTTTGGCCATGAGCGGGAATCGAACTCCGGTGTTTACGGTATAGTTTGCCGGGTTCGAAACAGGCAACCTCGAGGAGACAAAGGCGGCCGGGCGTGATCCTGGGCACACCACCCCTCGTGTGCCGTGCAGGCCTTCATATGTGGTCACTCAAGCAGTCTGTTTGGCTCCTTTTAACGCGTAGGCTTTCGCGACCAATATCATCCATGGGAGGTTTTTTTAGGTTAAATCGCGTAAATATATAAATGCGTCGTTAAAACCCGCCACCACCCGACACAGCCAACTAGTAAGCGTTGTCACTTGAACAAAACAGGCCAATTCTTTACGAGTACAGCACACCGGAGTGTTGGAGAGCCAAGCCACAACATTTACAATCTGAGTACGACGTTTCGCCAGTAATCACAACTAGCTTCATCAGGCGACAGCCAGATTTGTGGAGAAGTCCACCTGTTTCGTTCATACCTACTATAATCACCCAGGAGTGTCCTTAACGCTCGTGACGTCACTCTCACGTCGAGCAGCCCCCTCATTAATATTCATTAGCAGGTGCCGGCACCTCCCACCCCTCCTCATTAATAATCATGAACGGCTGACGTCACTCCAAATTGGGTACCCCCGCCCTGCATCATTAATAATCGTTAACGGATGACGTCACTCCACGAGCAGAAAGTTGGAGAGGAAATTTACATTTGGTTAGGCACAATTGCTTGCACTTTGCCACCATTATAAAGTAATCTTCGCGTCACGTCACTCCACATGCGGCCCCTCCCCTCATAAATATTCACGTGTCGCTGCATTTCATTACTCAAGCTGAGGAAGTTGGAGCGACTATTGCTGCTTTTGTAACGCCAATTCCACCCATCTTTATAGAGAGTTAACCATGACATTAATGCAACGTCACATCGCACTGCAGTTCCTGGCTTCGTTTCCTTCTTCGCCACGTCTAGAAAGAGGGAAGTCAACTTTACACTTCCAAATAATGCTGAAAGAAAAATGTATGCTAAAAATCAACATTTTTCAGCTGCTTTGCGGACATTAACTCCAATTACAATTGTTTGCACTGCACCTAAAGTCTTTGAGTGTCCCTTTAATAGTGGCACAGCGGCATTGCGTCAGCTGTTTTATCACATTGTTGCGGGCAACAATCACTGCCATCACTGGAGTGCTGCAGTCTAATGCTGTCAGGTGTTTTATGCGCTACATTAACTCACATTAATACAGTGCTACAGTTACATGCAGTAGGGTGTTTTATGATTTTTTTTTTACCAATATTATCCTCCCCTTCCACATTACATTCAGCTAATTAATATTCGTTAACGACTGACGTCATTTTGCAAGGAGCTAACCAGATAATTCATTCCACGCCACATCCCACTGCATTTTCTGCCTTAATTTCTCTCTTCGCCACGTCAAACTAAAGCAAGGTCAACTTCACGCTTGTAAATTATGCTAAAATAAAAATGTATCTGCTGTTTTTTCACCATTGCCTCCTATTCAAATTGTTTGTTACTCCGTTGAGCTACAGCACACCATAAGTAAGTCTCAGAGCACTGCACCTAAAGTAATTTAATTTGTTTAGGCGCAAAGGACATTTTATAATACAAATTGCCCCTTCTTTATGGAGACATTTCTCTGTGATTTTCCAGATATTCTATCGATTTCCAATTTATGTCAAACACGGCGACCGAAAGCAGAAGAGAATAAAGTTTCAGAGCCGTGAATTTGAACAAATTGAAGGTCAGTTATATACAGTGCTACAGTAACATGAAGTGAGGTGTTTTATGACGCAGTTTTGTGCAAGAATCACTGCCATTAATACAGTGCTACAGTGAACTGCAGTTAAGTGTTTTATGACATATTTTTGTGCCAGATTCACTGCCATTAATAAGTACTACAGTTAAATGCAGTTAGGTGATTTGATGACACACTTAAGTGCAAGATTCACTGCTAATAAATTTACACAAGATACAATCATACTCTGATAATTATTTTCGTAAATATTAAACCTTCCGTCCTAGGACGGGCAAATATGCTAGTTATATAGGGGAGTAGATGTGGTGACCACACTTCTGCGCTCTTGCGCAAAGTGGGGGGGGGGGGGGGGGGGTTAATGAGTTAACGTACATTATGCATGATCTTGTCCTTCCTGTCTATTGTATGCATTAAAATAGCCGTACCCTTCATAGGCATGCACTTAAGCGATGTATTATTTCATGATTTGCTTCCATGCAGCACTAAGGCGGTAGCTATCTGAACGGTTAAAATATTTTTGTTCTTTCAATTTCGATAGATTATCTAATTAGTCTTGGCCAGTAGTAGCTAGTTTTACACGTAACTTCAACATTATCAAAACCACTTGAGTGTCCTTGTTGGCACGCGTGTTCTGCTACTGCTGACAGTTGCATTTGGGAAAATTTAATATATCTCTGATGTTCTTTTAGTCTCGTGCTGATCATTCGTCCTGTTTGCCCAACTTAACATTTGCCACATGTGCAGTTCATCCTGTAAACACCTTCTGTTGATAGCTTCGGTAATACATATTTTGTACCAGATATAAATTTCTGTATTTTATGTACTGTTCCAAATCTGACTCGAATGTTT